TGAGTAACACTAGCAGGATGGAAAAAATACTCTAAAAACGAGCAATGCAGAAGACTTCCGAGATGCAAGACGAGCGCACCGACTACGCGTCTGGAAGTCTGCCGTTAAGTGAATACAACACGAGCTTCACAGCGAACAGGACTAATATCTCGTGGAGTGACTTTCAAGATCTCGCCGATTTGGATAAGCCCGACTTTATGGGAGATGGATCCGCGGTCCTGAGAATAATCATCTCTGTCATTTACTCGGTTGTGTGCGCGCTGGGTTTAATCGGTAACATCCTCGTCCTGTATCTCATGAAGTCCAAACAAGCATGGAAGAAGTCTTCTATCAACTTCTTCGTGACCAGTTTGGCGGTCACAGACTTTCAGTTTGTTTTGACGCTTCCCTTTTGGGCTGTGGAGAACGCCATGGATTTCACTTGGCTGTTTGGGAAGGCGATGTGTAAGACAGTTTCTTATGTCACGGCTACGAACATGTACGCCAGCGTGTTTTTCCTCACGGCTATGAGCGTCGCGAGGTACTGCTCCGTGGCTTCGGCGTTAAAAAGCAGGAGACGCCGGTTGCGTTTCTCCGCGCAGTGGATGACTGTAGTCATTTGGATTGCAGCGGTCGGTGCCGCTCTGCCGAACGCGATATTTTCAACGACCGCCACGGTATCCAACGAAGAACTGTGCCTGGTGAAATTTCCCGACCGGAGTGGAGATGCGCAATTTTGGCTGGGGTTATATCAAGCGCAAAAAGTACTTCTGGGGTTCCTCATTCCGTTCGTAATAATCACTGTCTGTTACCTGCTTCTCCTACGCTTCATAACTAACAAAAACGTGAACACCACCAGCGCTAAGAGGCGATCTAAAGTGACTAAATCTGTGACTATCGTCGTTTTGTCTTTTTTCCTGTGCTGGCTTCCGAACCAGGCGTTAACGGCGTGGGGAATCTTAATAAAACTCAATGTAGTGCACTTCAGTTACGAGTACTACACCACGCAGGTGTATATTTTTCCAGTCACAGTATGTTTGGCTCATTCAAACAGTTGTCTCAATCCCATTCTGTACTGTTTGATGAGAAGGGAATTCAGAAAAGCGTTGAAAAAGCTGTTTTGGCAAATCGCTTCGCCTACTGTGACAAACATGAGACCGTTTACCGCCTCAACGAAGCCCGAGCAAGATGAACACGGCCCCGCGCTGGTTCCGATCAGTCCCGCGGAGCCCGCGCTTATTTTTTATCCTCCGGGGGCTGTCATGTATAATGGCAGAAACGAACTTCTGCCTAACAGCACATAACGAGTTGTTGTTGGTAATGAGAAATGTTTCAGACTCAGACAAACTGGCTAATAATGAATTAGTTTGTACATTTGCTTCTCCAATGCGCAGAGTAAAAGAGTTCCGGTCTTGGAACACCTTTTGGAAGTGGAAGGGAGCCTCCCAATTCAAAACCTTTCTTAAAGGGATAGCTCAGCCCAAAACGAAAATGTTGTCATTAATTTCTCATCCTCATGTAGTCCATAGACAGCAAGGCAACCTAAATGGCCCCAGGTCCAGAAACGCAGTAAGATCAAGACAAAGGTAAAACAGTCCATGGGACATCAGTGGCTAAACTTCAATTTTGCAAAGCTACGAGAATACTTTTTGTGTACAAAGAAAACAAAAATAATGTTCAACAATAACAATAATTCAACAACTCTTCTTCCCCGTGTCACCATCCTCCACCATTTTGGAGAGTACCACACGCATGTGCGTGCTTTCCAATGAACGTAAACAACGCTGATTACGTTGATTATGTTCTGGGGAAAGCGCGCGCATGTGTCGTGGTACTCTCCAAAATGGTGGAAGATGGTTACTGATGGAAACTCGAGGAGAAGAATTGTTATTTTTGTTTTCTTCGTGCACAAAAAAGTATTCTCATAGTTTCGCAAAATTGAAGTTGAGCCACTGATGTCACATGGACTGTTTTACCTTTGTCCTGACCTTACTACGTTTCTGGGTCTGGGAACATTACAGTTGCGTTGCTGTCGATGGGAGGCTCAGAGAGATCTCCGATTTCATCAAAAATATTTTAATTTGTGTTCCGAAGATGAACGTAGGTCTTACGGGTTTGGAACTACATGAGGGTGAGAAATGAATGACAGAATTTTCATTTTGGGGTGAACCATCTCTTTAATTACGCCACTCTAATCCATTCTGGGTTTTACATTTTCACCCTCTCACTAGTCACTAGTGAGAAAGCCTTTACAAGCGGGAGGAAAGACCTCCTTGCTCTAGGTGAAATCACACAAACGTCACTCCCTTTTTAACTTCAACTCTGCATTACTAATAATCTAATCAGGAACTGTGAAAATCTAATTAGAAAGAAAAAAAAATTACAAACAAGTATTTATTATAATATTTGACAGACTATTCACAGAGCACAATGTGGATTCATATAATTTAATAATGTATCAGTTGGATTCATATGATTTATTAACAGTAGCCTATCAGTTGGTTAAAATATTTATAAAATTTAATAAAAAAATTGTATTTATTTCATTTCATTATTATTCTTTTTTTAATGAATGAAAGTGTTAACAATACCTGATTTATATTCACCTATTAATTCCCAGCAAGGAACAAATATGTATTTTTGGTCAACCATTACCCAAAACAAACCATTACATTGCTAATAAACATCTTACATCAGCCAGTGACGGGTTACAGGGTTTTTTTATGTACTCTAAAAAATCAGCCAACATACTAGCCTGAAAAGGTCAGGAGATGGCTAAGACCAGCAAAGCAACTGAGGCTAGTTTAAGATGTTTTTTTCAAGTGATCATTAAGAAGGTGTGTTATCATTATAGGCATTCATGTGAACTGTGACTATGTACATTTGGTCAGTTATTTATGTTTGATTTTACTGAATTGTCAAACTTTATCATCAGATTAAAAGATAATTAACACCACCTGCATAAAGACTTTGTTCTCCTAATTATACATACATACATACATTATATATATGTGTGTATGTGTGTGTGTGTGTATAAAACAACACCGTAAAAACAACAGCATTTCAGAAGAAGAACATCATACTGACAGTCAAACATGGTGGTGTAGTGTGATGGTCTGGGGCTGCTTTGCAGCTTCAGGACATGGATGACTTGCCATAATTGATGAAACCGTGAATTCTGCACTCTATCAGAAAATCCTAAAGGAGAATGTCCGGCCATCAGTTTGTGACCTCAAGCTCAAGCGCACTTGGGTTATGTAGCAGGACAATGATCCCAAACACACCAGCAAGTCCACCTCTGAATGGCTCAAGAAAAACTAAATTAAGGTTTTGGAGTGGCCAAATCATAGTCCGGACTTAAATCCGATTGAGATGCTTAAACAGTCCATTCATGCTCGAAAACCCTCCAATGTGGCTGAATTAAAAAATTCTGCAAAGAAGAGTGGGCCAAAATTCCAACACAGCGATGTGAAAGACTCATTGCCAGTTATCGCAAACGCTTGATTGCAGTTGTTGCTGCCAAGGGTGGTTATTTGATTTAGGGGCAATTACTTTTTCATGTCGTGCCAGGCAGGTTTGTACCTATTTTTTCCCTTAATAAATTAAATAATTGTTTCAAAACTGCATTTTGTATTTACTCGAGTTATCTTTGTGTAACATTAAAATTAGCTTGATCTGAATCATTCAAGTGTGACAAATATGCAAAAAAAAAAATTTTAAAACAGGAAGGGGGCAAAAACTTTTACACACCACTGTAAAATTTGAACACCCTATTGAATTCCATGGTTTTCTGTATCAGGACATAAAAAAATATCTGGTCCTTGGCAGGTCTTAAAATTTGGAAAATAAAACTTTGAACAATGATGAACAACAACACATGACATATCAAACCGTGCCATTATTTATTTAACAAAAAATAAAGCCAAAATGGAAAAGCCATGTGTAACAAAGTTAGGACACCCTTAATGTTAACATAGGAATTAAGAGGGTAAGTAACAGTCAGACTCTGCTAATCAAATGTCTTTGATTAACTAATCATCAGCAAGTGTGAGCACCTCTATAAAAGCAGATGTTTTGGCAGTTTGCTGGTCTGGAGCCTTCAGGTGTGTGTTAACACAGTGCCAAGGAGGAAATACATCAGCAATGATCTTAGAGAAGCAATTGCTGCTGCCATCAATCTGGGAAGAGTATTACGGCCATTTGCAAACAATTTGAAGTCCATCATTCTACAGTGAGGAAGTTTATTCAAATGTGGAAGACATTCAAAACAGACAAAAATCCTCCCAAGACTGGACATCCCAGCAAATTCACCCCAACATCAGACTGTAACTTTGTCACACATGGTTTTCCATTTTGGCTTTATTTTTGTTAAATAAGTAATGACACAGTGATATATGTCATGTGTTGTTGTTCATCTGAGATTTTATTTTCAAAATGTTAAGACCTGCAAAGGACCAGACTTTTTTTTTATTATGTCCTAACAAAGAGTGAAAAATTTAAGGGGGTCTGAATACTTTCCGTACCCACTGTATATATATATATATATATATATATATATATAATTACAAGCTGAAACACTTCACATCTAAGGCACAGCTCTCTGCCAACAGTTCATTGATTATCACTGAAATAAAGTAAATCTGATGTGTCTGAATCCAGTCATTGTTTTGTTTAAAGTGAATATTATATGGAGTTTGGCAGACATGATAATACGCGTTCCCTCAAAAACAATTCACCTTAAGAGAGCAATGAACATGCATAAACAAAACATCCAAACCTTGCAATTTTGTCAACTGTTCTTTGACTGCATAATCTTTCTTTCAACCTTCACTGATGAAGAAGGTTATTATTTTAGAATGTGACAGGTGAATTGGAGTGCACAGAGAAAGACTTGATGGCACCAGCGTCAACCAGAACAATACCCACAAAATGTGTCTATTCCTTTCTTTTTCCTGCTCGTTCTCAGTGAACAGAAGAGATGGACCATATGAAATAGCGAAAGTGTATTTATTTGAGGCTTAATCTGTACATCACATAAAGAGAGCAATAAAGAGGCAGCCAATTAGGGATACTGTTGATGCAGAGAGAACCACGACAATCACACTGCCTGCTAGATTGACCAGGGCTCCAAGACCAGCTCCTACTATGACCTGAGCCAGCTGCACCATGCAGGTAAGAGCTGCGCAGTCCATGCCAGTGCCACGGCTCTCAAGAGCTGGTTCATCACTACCCAATTTCCTTTGCTCCTATGACAAGAAAGATGTTTTGCGTAAGAAAAAAGCTACAATCCTAGACAAAATTTTCCACATGGACCTAAAATATCAGAAATGTCTATACAGCATTGCAAAAAGAAAATCACAAGAGAAGTTTCTATCATCTGAAGATCTGAAATATCTTATAATGAACTGTGGATTCCAGGAAGCCTTGCCTTTGATAGTTCTAAGACGGCATGTTCATAAACTTCCATGCAAATTTCAAGCTCTTTGAACCAACACATAACAATTAGAACAATTCAAATGCAAGTAACATGCCAAGTTGCATTTGTCAGATTTAATCAACATTTTGATTATAATTCAGTCAGAATTTTAGGGAGGGATTTAGATTTGCAATTGCATTTTCTGTTTCCTTGCAACTTTATTAATGCTTCAGACATCTCAGGGATTTTAGATTGAAGCCAAATAAAGTGAAAAATCAATGTTTAAAACAAGTGAAGAATCTAGAATTAAGAAACGTTCTTGGTAAATACTTAGGCAAGTTTTTTTTTTTTTTTAGGGAAAAACTTTGGTGTGTTTTGGTGATCTATCAAACATCAGATTCTACAAAGCAAGCTAATAAAATATTTTCATTTCGAATCAATATTTATCAGTATCAGAGTTTTATGTATTTACTTATTTGGTAAATATCATAGTATCATTGTAATAAGTGGAATAATGTTCAGTAAGATGGTTTTTAAATCACAAAATAAACACCTTCAGGATGATGAAAGACCCACCATCTTCACATAAGGGCCCTAATTATCCTGCAAGGGTTTATTTTGTGATAATGACCTGCTGAATGTACACTAGCCCTTACTGACAGGCTTTTATAAGTCTTTGCATTAGATGAAATGATAAAAAACTAATTTACTTTTTCAAAGACACAGCTGCAAGCAAGCTTGGTTTAAACACTCAATTTCACAAAATCTTTGCTGAATAAAAGTATTAATTTCTTTCAAAAAAAGTATATTTTCTTGATTAAAAATGTATAAAACTTTCAATATACTGTTTAAAGGGGTCATGAAGTAAGAAATAAAAATTCCCTTGTCGATATATAAGAGGTCATTGTGCACTCTGTAAAACATTCTGTAAGTTTAAGAACTCAAAACTTTCTTGTATAGACTTATATAGACTTATAACATAATAGTGTCAGTAAACACCACCTATGCAGAAGATCATTGCCTGCATCTACATCACTGCCTGTTTAGCCCCCCCCACCGATTCGCGCTTAAATGACGAGAGCGGCAAACGCAGTTCTACTCTGAAACCAGATGATAAACTGTATTTGATGAACTTTATTTTTAATGAAGTGCCAGAACTCGGTCTTTTGTTCACTTCATTTTACCACACATCCGTTTACAAAAAAGGCACAATTCGACGCAGGACCTTCAGAAAGATTGAAACAAAAAGACTGTTGTGCCGACTATATTGGATCTGATGTTGCACCACACAAGTTTGAGTAGCTGTTTTCATTACGTGATCACTATTGCTTTGTCTGTTGCTACAGATCATCTGATATGTACTTATGAGTATTTATGCATTTTTAACCTAAAACACACAACATAGCAGTGGGCGTTTACTTTCGAGTCTACAACCCGTCAGGGCCTATTCAACTGAGCGTTCTGATGAGGGGGGTCAAAAACAGGACAGAAAATAGCCTATTATTTCTAAATTATGTTTTTCTATTGTGACGAGCATTCCGAAGCTTCATCAGCGTCGCCCTGGAAACAAGCGAGGAGCACCTGGCCATCATCATCACAGGCTGATCGGTCACAGCTGCACCTCATCAGGCGGCGGCTACATAAGCCACGCAAGCCCTGCCATCTAGGAGATTCCTCCATGAGACAGAGCACTAACTCGCCCTCTCATTTTTCCCACAGAAAGCAGCGTGTGACCGACCAGCCCCACAGGAGCACTGCATGGACCCTCTGCACTGGGAAGACGGAAGAGAGCACTCATGGCACCGGAGCACCTACCTGGACCTATCTCACTAGCACCCATCACCCCAATAAATCCACCCTCCGGGGCATTGATTGAGATTACTTGTCGTGTGATTCTTCACCCCGTTACACTATGTATACATTTTGATAACATTATAAATGGACCTCAGAGAATAGTACAAGATAAAAAAACAGGCAGTTCATGACCCCTTTAAAATTACTTTTGTCCTCTTGTATCACTGACCTCTTCAGCCTTGTGGTACTCCGAGATGAGGTTGAATGGGATGGTGTAGAGAGTGCTGGACATGACTCCAAACACACTGCACAACGTCAGCGTGGCCACGATGTTTGGAAACAGGCTGATCAGACCGGTTCCCAAACCAAACATAAAGTAGCCAAGGAAGTACAGTCCCTTCAGGCCAATATATGGCAGGAGAAGCCTCTGCACATCTGGATGGACACATATGGAAATCATTAAAACAGATTGCAACAATAGCCTTCAATACAGAACAAATGGTGAATCGGATGAATAGCAAACAGATTAACAGGTCAGAAGTATTCATATCAGTGATAAAACGTCTTCCCTGATAAAACCCTCTGAAATGGCCTTTTCAGTGACACATGACTTGAGGTCCGAATTAGAATGACAGGATGTTGAATAGGACTGTGATTCTCTCATCAAAACAGACTAATAACTCTGAAAAAGTGTATTATCCAATTTCAAACCCGAACTGACTTGGTAGGGCCATGTATTATCAAACTATAATTGAACAGTTTTCTTTTGTCTGAATGCATTAAGAAAGTGCAGGTTTAATAAAGTCAGGAAAAATGAACAGTTATGGTCAATACTCACATGAATAGAGCGCAGAGGAGACGGCGTTGATGCACAGGCCCCAGCAGCCCACTTCAACCCCTCTCTCATATGTCGCATATGAGGTGGAATTGTGTTCAGCATAGGGGTTCCCCTTATATACAATCTAAAGATGAATACACACATCCCAGGGATGTTACATACTGTAAGATAAAGCATGTGACAAGGTGATCCATTGGGGTAAAAACACCATAAGTACAGAGCCAGAGAACCTCTCCACAGGTGTCTCTGCTTCCATTATGCTACTCAAGTGAAGTACAAGAACATCACAAGGCTTTTTCCATTCAGACACCACGTGGAAATTCAAAGGGACATCATCATCTGCTCTGCTGTGATCTTGTGGGTTGGTTTTAAGGCTACTGAGTTTTATAAATCTTACCTCAAATTAGCCTACGGTAAGGTTAACATGCATGCTCAAGTAGTACTTTTTATTCAAAACCTCAGGTCATAAGGTTCATACAGTTCCTTTAATGACCCTCAGCTTTCAAAGATGGAGACTTTATCTCAATTCAGCACTGACCAAACTAGCTGTGTGAGGGAAAATAAGATAAAGAAACTGCCACAAATAATCTTTTAACCACAACTTCAAATAATCTATTGATCTTTTCTTCAGGTTCATAATGCTACTCTTTCAGGAGTACTAAATTGAAATCTAATGACTTGGTAAATGAATAAAGATGAATGAGTTATTAGAGATATGACAACTTTTCAGAATATAAGAAAATATGTTGGGGTTTTTTTCTTTCTTTTGTTAAGCTATACTTTTGGCAGTCTGGTTTCTTTCACAATCTGAATGGTTACAAAAATGTGATTAAGTTAGCAGCATCAATAGTTTTTGTTATACTACTGTTCAAAAGTTTGGCTACATAACTTTTTTTTATATATA